ATTTGAAGCTGGGACGTAACAAGTACATATTTGCAACTGTAACTATTTTATGTGAGTTTTATTGCATTTATTAATTTTAAAATAATCTATTTTCTATGTAAAGCTATACTACTTCCATTGCCAGCTGTTATCATTTGCCTTACTGTTGACAAATTCAAATATAATATCCATCGTTTCCCCACAACTCTTTGCAGCAGCAATGGTGACATGTGGTTCTATTCTACAACACTTCCAATAGATGTACTATTTGCTGCTGGAGTTATAATGCTGATTATAGTTCTTTGGACTATGAGAAATGTATGTACACTAAATTATTGATTTTATAATTATTTAAATTTCATTAATAGAAGACAAATTTTTTGAAAAAGAAAAGCAATACTGAGCTTAGCACTGCTGAGAAAAAAATCCTATTGGTTTTTGCATTCTTTATTATTTTTGGTGTTTTCATATTAGGGTATGTCAGTGACATAGAAGCAAAATCTGGCAAAATTAAAGTAGCTTTAAGAGAATACTTTGAATGTGAAGCATTTGGTCACATTCCTGGAAAGTGTGATAGAGGAACATTTGATAAAATCTACAATCCATACATGAGTGCCACTGCATACATGCTAATGAGTTTGATACCGTTGAGCATTTTGAACTTTATACTTAAGTGGAGCTCAGTTAAAAGTGCTGGAAATAAAGTAATGACATTGACAAAAAGGTATTTAAATTTCTTACATCATGAAGAAAAATCATTTGCAACTTCCTCTGAAAGTGCTCTTGGTGATTTATCATCAAAATCATAACATAAAGACATGAAAATAAGTGCATAATTTGACTTTTAATTACAACTGATGTTTACTTTTTGTTCTTTATTGGACTTGCCATGTGGGCGAGTATTAGGTATTTTGGTTGTCCATCTGTGTTCATAAATTTTTAATTAAATTATTTTAAAAAAATTTAATAAAAAAAACTGAGTCCCCTAGGCTTACAGAAATTCCTTATAGCTAGTGCAAGCCTCCATTTATCAGCTAAAAATGTTTCAAAGAGCAGCACTAGAGAGAAGAAGCTTTCAAAGTCATATAAGGGTTGATTTAAGTAAACATTGATGTTAAAAGAGCTTTCATTAACTATGGTAAACATAATAAACAACATTAAACTTCACTGATAAGCATTGACAAAGAGCGGCAAACAATAATAAACATATTATAAAAATACTGATATACATTGATATACAGTGGTGAACATAGGTAAACAATGATATACAGCAATAGATCTATACAGTGTAAAACATAGGTATACAGTCATATACAACATAGGGAAACAGGAATGCATGCCTAATTCCTTATGTATTTTCTCTTGCTACATTCACACTATGTACATTCCACAAAATGTAGCTCCATGTTACTATACTAGTAAGGTAAGCAATCCATGTAACTGTTTTATCAAGAATAGCTGACAAGCTGTGGCACTTAGATCTATCACATGACCTTAATATTAAAATTTACATTACAATAGCAATTAAAGTAAATCTAGCACTATTAATAATGAAAGGTCACTCTGCAGCCTATAGGGAAGTATCAGCTATTAGTAACGTGGTAGCGTTACTAAGTAGGATTCACCCCCAAACAAAATGGCTGCCACAACTTTTGCAGCCTTGCTATATAGAGAAAGATGTGTTGCTGGAATAAAAAAAACCAGTATTTGGTAATAGAATTTTTACTTTTTTAAGTCTCAGAAAATAAAACAGTATCAACTGCTTCATCATGATACGAAACACTTTAATGATTAACTTCTAGCTGCAAGAATACTATTATGAATTTAGTATAATTAATCTTTCATCTGCATCTAAAAAATTCCACATAATAGCCAAATTAATCTCAAACACAAGACTGATTTTATTACAGCACCACGACAGTCAAAAGCTATATGTTATGTTTATGCAGCATACTGTGTAGTTTCAGCACTGAATAAATTCACAATAAAAACAGATAAGGATTATTATCTAATAAACAAAACAGCATGGCACTGTTACGGTACATATTTTTCTTTCAGTTCATTGTTTATTGACAAAAATAATTATGAGTGTCATGATAACAATAATAATAGCCACAATTATTGCTGATATTTTTCGAAAGGAAGATATGGCAGTATCTGTGGTGTATTACGCTTTAAGCTTATTACTCTTATCTAAATCTGCTCATCTTTATGGTAATGCTGGTAAGGAAGAATCAAATGATCCAGGGAATACAATATATACAGATTGCTGTAAGTTAAAAACTAATAATTCCATTAGAATATATCCTATTATGCTATTATGCATAAGCTCCAAGTGATAAATTTTCCGAAGTTTCTGGTGCACAAGTAACTCCAATGCCTATGATACGTGGAAAAGCTTTTCACATTTATGGAACTCTAAAAATAAGTAAGCAAACAGCACTTTCACTATCAATTATCTCATATCATTT